TGCAATAATTCCCACCTCCATCCCAGGTCCTGGCTGCATCCTGTTGGACTGCTGCCAATTTAAAAGCTCATGCAATATGTTCCTAGGTATATACATGTCTGTGAGTACTGTTGCACATGAGTGTGTCTGTGTGTGAGACAGTATATGTAAAATTTACACATGTTAAATGTTGAATTCATTTTTAAAAAACTGTCCTAATATGAACAATGTTATTTTCTTATAAAATGTTAAAATATTAATATACATGGATATGTGAACAAAAATACTTACACTAAACAAACAAATTACTTTAATTCATATACTATGTTGAGGGAGGCACGACATCTGCATGTAGATGTAAAGAGGGTCACAGGGGTAAAAAGTTAGAGAACTACCAATCTAAATTACTTGGCAGGAATGTTCCAGTTAATGCTCACAAATATGAAAGAGTCAGTCTTTACGTATAAGGGGGGAGGACTTTCATAACATGGGTCTGGCAATGACCAAAATTGAAAAGCACTGTTTATTCATCTGATTAACTTCATATATGCCACTTGAGTCTCAGAACTTTCTCTAACTCCACAGACTTCTGATTTGAATTTCAAATGTTAGTTCCCAATATTTATCAGGAATCTGTGTGCCTTACAATGTACATCCACAATATGTTTGCCTGCTTTAAAAAAAGAAAAAGAAAAAGAAAAAAGTCTTGTGGCACTTTTAAGATTAACAGATTTATTTTAATATGAAATTTTATGGATTATGATCCACTTCTGCATGACAGAGTATAATATGCAAACGTTAGATATATAAACACAGTTACATAGTTGTGAGCTTTCAGACGGAAATGGGATGCAGAAAATGAGAACTGTATTGTTAACACTGGTCATAAACCCTCAAAATGTTGTATGTAGAGAGATTCTACCTCAAAGTGTTGATTTATCATAAATATCCTAGAATCTGTAAACTAATCTGAAAGACTGCTGGGCTGCTAATTGTCTCTGGAGTGCCAAGACAATACATTCTGCTTTCAAGAAAGTTTGTTCTTTTTAAAAAAAAAAAAAAGGAAAATATTTTGGCTAGACATACAACTGGAATAAAACCCCAGCTTTTAAGACAAGTCAAACTGGAGAGGGAGGATGTCAACATACTACTTCATAGGAATAAAAGAAACTCCCCCATACTACTACAGACTATTTATATATCTGAGTACTGTCCACAGCAGACCTGGCTCCTCCTGGTCCCTTTGTTTATATCTCTCATAATGCCTAAGCATTGATCATGCTGGTGGAGGCTGGTGGGAAACATCTAGAGGGCATTATGTTTATTGCTGCATTCTATGCTAACTCACAGTAGTTCCCTCAGCTTTCACATAGGATTCTTCTCAACCCCTATTTGATGTCTGAAATTAACCCTAGGACCTTTGGATGCAAAGCATGTGGTCTACCACTGAGATATAGTTCTTTCTCAGTAGAGTACATAAATTCTGAAAAATTATAAACACATAAAGCACTGAATTACAACCTATTTTGGATAATAACACTGATGTCTTAAACTTTAAGACTTAAAGGATCTTGGCAAACTTTTCCTTGCCTACAGACAACCTCCCAATCTCTGTTACTTACTTACAAGAGGATACACTGCACAAATGAGGAGATGGGTACAAAACCTTGCCACAAATGCAGATACCAACTCTTCCCACACATCTACTTGATAAATGCCATCACAGGACTAATAACATAATCTACAGTATTAGATGCTCTTTCATTCTACCATCCTCTAATCTGATATATGTCATACTATGTCAACAGTGCCCTTCAGCACTCTACATTGGACAAATAGACCAGTCTCTGTGGCAGAGGATAAATGAACTTACATCAGATATTACACAAAAGCTTGTTGCAGAACACTTCTGTATTCCTGGGCATTCCTTGTCTGACAACAGGACAGTGGTTCTTGACTAAAAAAAAATGCAAAGAAAGATTGGAAAGAGAAACAGTTGAATTAGGATATATTTACAAACTCCAGTCCATCAGCAGTGCATTGAACAAAGACAATGGCTTCCTGGCACACTACACATATTACAATACTGGATACTCTTAGCCAGCTTAACATATCTCCTTTCAGATTCCCAACCTGCACACACCACATTCCAAAACTCCCTCCACCATTCATATTGTCATCCACCAAACCTGGCCTTAGGCAACATCTCTACTCTTGTCTTAGTCCATCAATGACCATCCTTAAAACTGAATTTGTCACCTAATCACCTACCCACAAGTTTTGCATTTCCATGGGTATTCATACAGTTTATAAAGGTCCTTCCTGCGCATCAGTTCACTCCATGCTGAAGTAGACCAAGGAGATTATCGCGTTAGTTTTGCTGCTGTGATAGACCCAGGATGTAACTTTCCTAAGGTGGATCTTATTGCATTCATCCATTGTCGGGCAGTATGCAGCCTATATGCAATCCGAGCTTCTCCCACAGCTTTTCAAGAATGGGATTTTCCAGTTCTTGAAAAGATGCGGGACAAGCTTGGAGAAGCCCGGGTTGCATGTGGCCTGCATACTGCCCAGCAATATATATGACAACTTTAGCTTTGTGATAAGATCCACCTTAAGAAAGTTGCAGCGAACCTAATGCGATAATCTCTCAAGTCTACGAAAGCTCATTCTACAACTTCTTTCACACAGTATGCCTTGAAGGTGATGAAAGATTCCTTTGTATACATGTAGGGCACACATATTTTGAATATTAGCATTACCAATAAATATACATAAGATTTCCAAAGCTAAAGTTGTCATATATATGAGTGTGGAGGGCATTACAGGGTTTTTTAAGCTATAAAAACTAACACATTTGACTTTGCAGTGCTTTCCTCAGAATAAAGCAACTACTATAAAAGTAACACAGATAAATATTCCAATAAACATTTCACAGACCATCTCCCAGCTTGTTATTCACTGCATTCTGAGGAGCATCTCTGATGAACTGATAACTAATATATGACGCTTGCTGATATTGATGCAAAATGGCATCCAGCAGTAAAGAATAAGGGCTCAACAGTACTTTTGGAAATTACCGAGATGCTTTCTCATGAACTATGTGTAATGTCCAAATGTGATGTCAAACAACATCAATTTAAGTTAGCATGCATTTCATCACCACTTTGAGACTTGGAATGTTAGTCATTAAATGTCTAAAACTGAGAAGTGGGTAGCAAGAAGTATAGATGAATCAGTCCATTTCTAATTTATGTCACTTTCCCATATGTTCATGTGGAGATACATTCCTTATTAATTTGCACAATAATTCATATTTAAATATAACTTTAAGTACATTGAACTTTTTAAAATCTCTCTGATTCCATTGGTGCAGATAGTCTCTCTGCCAGTGCAGATAGCAAGTATTTTATTCTGATATTGTGTTCATAATTGCTATGGCCAGTTCATCAGTTCATCACCCAATGGCCAGCCATCTAGGGATAAGTCTCTCTGTGTAGCTGGTCTTCAAATGGCAGTCAGTCTGCTACTGGCACCATAGGTGAAGCCTTTTCAAATTGATAGAACCATCCAGAACTTGTCCTCCGCTGTCATGGACTATATGTTAGCCCAGAAGAACCTTCACACCACAATGGGTCACTGGAGCAGGGCCTTGTGGAAATCATCTTTAAATTGGCACTTCTAAATAGACATTGTTTCTCACAATATGCCTTTGTAAACAAATGCTGGTATGGTTTTCCAGACAAGAAATTCCTCAGGAAAAATAACAAAGTCCCATTCTGCTCATTAGTCCAAGACATGCAAATCATGCAGAGGTAGAATTCCTCAAATTTTTCTGAATATAAATACAAGGAAATGAATTTTATATAGCATAGATTTTAATACATCACATCAAAATAATCACTCAACCTCCTAAGGAAAAGGCCAACTGACCATAACTTCTATAGCATTTTTCATCAAATAGCAGTATTAGCCACAGATGTAATAATATTGAACTTGTTTTCTTTAGCAATGCTGCCACCTACTGGAAAATATAAATCTTCTCCTAGGCTTTCTTAACAATGAAAACATACACAAATCAGTGTATGATTTTTTTAAAATGGCTATGAAGCCTATACATTTTCATTTTCATGTGAAGTTCTACCAATTTCTATTGTTTTTTTTAATGGAAATCTTGTTTTATTTCAATGTGGGTTTTGAGAACAGAAGCTTTCCAAGGTAATATACCAATTCAAAATAGTGTTAAATTGAAATACTATTAATAATCTGTCTTCCATTGTGTAATAATGCCCTGAAAACTGGCTGCCTATCTAGAATGCTGCAGCCAGACTGGAGACTATATCCAGTTATCAAAAGCATATAAACTCACCATTAGAAAAGCTTCATTGTCTACTTACAAATTTCCAGGAACAATTAAAAATGCTGCCTTCTTGTTATTTGTCACCGTAGCAACTTGAGCTTATAGCAACTCTATGAATAAGAGACAACCAAGTCACTCTACCACCATCAGCCCTGATCAGACCTTTCAGACTCAGGGCCATGGCTTCCTTGATTGAGTCTATCAATATGCAATGTTGTCTTCTCTTTTCCTGCTATCTTCCACCTTACTATGCATTACAGTCGGCATCCTCAGCTTGAAAATATTCCAAAAAAGTATAAATTCCAAATACCAAACTTTGATTTTCCATTTTATATAAGGGACACCATTTTGCTATCCCATTATATTTAATGGAAGTTGAACATCCATGGATTTTGTTACCCACAGGGGATAACAAGGATCCACTGTATTTGTTTTTCTAGAGAGTCATGTCTTCTCATGATATGTACAAAGTACAACAATCTCTGTTAAGCCATCTTGGCTTCTAGGGAGAGTTGATTTGCTCTATGACCCATTCATTTGTCTTTTCATTAGTCCATGATATGAACAGAACTCTTCTCCAGCACCACATTTCAAATGATTTTATTTTATTCTTGCCAACTTTTTTCATTATCCGGCTTTCACATACATAGAAATAAGAAATGCCCAACATGGTGTTGTGGTTCGAGTGTTGGACTATAATTCTAAAGATCAGGGTTCAATTCCCTGCTTAGCCATGGAAATGCCCCAGAAAACCACATGATATGTTCACCCTCGGGTCACCATAAGTCTGAAACTACTTGAAGGCACACATCAACAACAAATGGCATGGATAATTCTGACTTTGGTATTCAATGATATACCTTTATACTTGAGGATCTTGAAAAAGTCCCCAAGTGTGATGCATGTTATAAAGTCACATGGGTTGTAAGCCCTAGAGCAGGGGTCCCCAAACTATGGCCCGCAGGACGGACTCGGTCTGTCGAGGCCTTCTTACCGGCCCGCTGCCAGTCCTGCCACCGCTGCCACTGCAGCTGCCACCGCCACCACTGATGCGCACCGCTGGCCACCATTTTATCTTCCAAAATGGCGTCCGGAGTCATGTGCATGTGCCCTGCATCGCACATGCATGCACATGACTCTGGATGCCATTTTGGAAGACAAAATGGCACATGGTGGCACACACATGCGCATGTGATGGCAGGCGCATGCGCACAACTCCGGGTGCCATTTTGGAAGACAAAACAGCTCCGGAGTAGTGTGCATGCATGCATGATGCGGGGCACCATTTTGTCTTCCAAAATGGTGCCAGGCTCCGGATGCCATTTTGGAAGATAAAATGACACCTGGAGTCATGCACCTGTGCACACGCCTCCGGCCCCCAGATCAAAAAGTTTGGGGACCCCTGAGAGGGGCACTAACTGCTAAGGCAACTAGATGTGATTTTCCATATGACTGGCTGTTGGAAAGCGCTTTTATTTTCCTCCAGTATTTGAGTTGCCATATTACCTGGTTAGCCAGGTTTTACCCAGATTCTGGATTCATTACCTTCATGACAGTTTTCATGCTCAGCTGACCCAAGAAAGAGTTTCCAATCCTTCCCTGTCCTTCCTCTCTGCTATAACAAAGACTAACCCCTATGATATCACAGGGGCCAAGGCCCTGGTCTCAGGTTTTGGTCCTTAAATATCAAGAAATAGAATGCTGCAGATATCTCCACATTTGGAATTGCCTTTCCAGGGAGGCCCATTCATCCTCCTATCTGCTGATCTTCCAACAGGAAAGGCCTTCTTGCTTATATAGACGTTTGGCTTGAAAAGGTAATTGGGTCATGGGCTTGGTTTTGTCTGTTCCTCCCCCCAAATTGGTTGCTGTTAGTTTTGTTCTATAGTTCTCCTCAGCTTTTCTTTTTACTTGGGGCTTTATTTGTAATTTATTGATAATTAACTTTTATATTGCATTGATATAGCCATCTACTGGGGAAAGGTGGACGTACATTTAAGTTATAGGTCCAAAACACACTGCAGAAATAATCCAGTTTGAGGCTGCTTTAACTGCCCTGGCTCAGTGTTTGGGAATCCTGGGAAATGTAGTTTATTGGGTCACCAATTGGCAGTATACAAATAAAATTTATTATTATTATTATTATTATTATTATTATTATGGCACCAGAGGTCTCTGACAGAGATGGATAAATGTCTCACAAAATTACAGTTCCCAGAATTCCTCAGCATTTAAACTGGTCTCAAACTGGATTATTTCCACAGTGTGTTTTGGAACAAAGGTATCATTAAATTATGTTAAAACTAGACTGTCTTCTCTTTGTGAGTTTTTGGAGCCCTTTGGCTTCCTCTATGTTAGTGCGAATGTGTGAGTGAGTATACTGTGTGCCATCTGTGTGAAAGGGTTCCCCCAATGACACACTGGACAAAATGTTTGCATTTCATTCTGAACTTAGAGTATTATTTATACTGGAAGTCAATTCTTCAGTCGTGGTTTGTGGGTTTTTTTCTTTTTCTTTTCAGCTGAATTATTTCAACCATGGTATATTCTGCGATGATGATTGCAGTCCAAAGGGCTACAGAGTCTCTTGAATTCAATTATCTATCTCAGAAATATCCCCACAGAATCTCCAAACAGCTTTTTAAATTCAATAAAAATGAACTGGGGAATGGTGCAAGAGCTTGTAATGGGAAGGGGGCAGACTGGGGAGAAATAAAGTGTATGCACTGGTGGCATGTCTGCAGAAAAAGTGTGGACCTTTGACATGTTTTATCAAAGTTATAGAAACTTTTATCCCAAGCTGTGCCTTAAAAGGCATCTGGTTGCTGGATGAACATTTTATTTCAGAAATAGAACCCAAAACGTAAATGAATGAAATATGTTATTTTTGGAACAAATTATCAGGTGCACAAAATCACTTTAACAAAGAAATGTGTTTTAGAAGATAAGATATCATTGCAGAATCATCTTGGAGACTAAATAGTATTACTGTTGCAGCTGATAGCAGTCCTGTAAAAGAAGATGGCAATGTGTCATATGTCAAAGGATGTATTAGTCTACTTGCTTAAGGTCCCTCATAGCATTTACATAGGCTTCTAATATGTAAACATCATCTGTTGAACTAAATAGGTGTGTGTGTGTGTGTGTGTGTGTGTGTGTGTGTGTGTGTGTGATGTACACATGTATGTATCCCATTAATATCCTATCTTCTTCACATCCACCCCAAATTTGTTGTCAGTAAAATAAAAATAAAAACAGATTAAAATACAGTACAAAAACAAATTAAAAACACAATTAAGAAATATAAGCCCCCAACAGTCACACAGTGTAAAAGCCAAAGGTTTCTCTTAATCAATGGTTTGTTGACTACTAGTAAAAGGTAAACAGAAAACATATTTTTTTAAAATGTTGGCATATTTTTAAAGCTTGTTTTTATCTGTCCTTAAAGAATGCTTTTTATTTTC